CCAGGTTGTGTTAATTCTTTTGTTGAAAATATGAGCGATTCCTCTTCAATCAAAGGTGATTCCTTATGCTCAATTTGTTCATCTTTTTCAAAAAATGGGATTTTTTCAGCTTCAACAAAAATAGTCGATGTGTGTGGTTCAAAAACATTTAAAGAACAAAGAGATTGATCTTTAATTTGTTTTTTCGTAGAGTCAAAGATATTGAACTCTACTTTTTGGTCATCGAACTCTAAAGTTAATGAACCACTAGACACGTCAATTTTTGTTTTTGCGGTCTTTAGGAAAGGTCTACCCAACAGGATGGGTGTCGTTTGGTCATCATCCCCCATTTCAAGGACATAGAAGTCAACAGGAAAAACCATGTTTTCTACTTCTACTAGCACATCTTCTAATACACCCTTCGGGTAAGTATTAGAACGATCCGCTAGTTGAATCACTACACCGGTTTGATGTAGTGGGCCAAGTTGTAGGGATTTATAAACAGAGTAGGGAATAACATTTATAGATGCCCCTAAATCCTACAAGGCTTTAGAAAATGTGGTGTTTCCTATCTTACAACGAATAGTGAACATGCCCGGATCGCTACATTTTTCGGGGAGTTTCCTCTGAAAAATTGCTAAGACACGTTCACTAACCTTGACCTCTTGTTTCCCCTTCAGTTTATTTTTTCTTTTCATCTTGCATAGTTCTTTTAAAAACTTTGCATAACGGGGAACACTTTTGATTAGTTTAAAGAGTGGGATATTTACCTCACAATTTGCGAAAGTCTCGTGGATGTCCTGATCATGCTCTAGCTTCCTTGTGTCCTTCAGTGCCTCAGGGAATGGAGGGAGTGGCTCATATGATGATAGTGGAGGGAATTTTGTCTTTGTTGGTTCCTCCTCATCTGGTTGAAAGACTTCTCCAAGATCAACTTCCTTTTTTTCCTTGTGCATTTCCTTCAATGTTGTCCCGCTCCTCAACATGATTGCATTAACATGTTGTCTCGGGTTTTGCTCCGTTTGAGATAAGAGTTTACCCGAGTCTTTTGCCTCAAGTCGGTTCACAGCATTCGAAATTTGGCTAACTTGAGTTTCCAAATTTTGAATGCTTGACTTTGTTTCTTGTTGAAATTGCAACATGTTTTGTTGCAAGGTGCCCATGCTAGTAGCAAAAGTTCGAATCATGTCCTCCGTAGACATACTAGATTGAGAAGATGAGTTGGATTGTTGAGAGTTTCCATACCTCAAGTTTGGATGATCTCTCAATCCGGGATTGTAGGAGTTTGAGAATGGGTCGTATCTCCTTTGTTGATGTCCTTGGAAGCCCAAGGCGTGGACCTTTTCTTCTTGTAATGTAGGGCATGAATCGGTAGGATGCCCTTGTGTTGCACAAATGCCACAGACCTTGACTTCTTGGGTTTTGGGATTCAAAAGAAAATCTTTTACCAAAGAAGTCAAGTTGGCTACTTGACTCTCCAAAGATGGGTTGGACTCTACTGCGGCAACCCTTCGGGTTGAGGACCGCCCATTGTAATATCTAGAATTCTCGGCTAACTCCGAGATGAGATTCCTCGCTTGAGAAGGGGTTTTGTTGACAATCCCCCCTCCACATGCCGCATTCACCATGCTTCTATCTTGATCCGCAAGACCATCATAGCAGTAAAGGATGAGGTCTTGCTCCGTGTACCCATAGTACGAGCAGCTAGCACATGACTTTTTAAATCTTTCCCAATATTCATATAATGACTCATCATCTTTTTGATCAATATTGCTTATTTGTTTTTTCAAAGATGATGAGACGGAGGCAGGATAGTACCTTTCCAGGAAGCACTTTTTCATTGCCGCCCATGTGTCTATACTTCCCGAAGGAAGATAGAATAGTCAATCCTTTGCGGTGTCTTTTAGGGAGAATGGAAAAACCCTCAACTTGATTTGCTCCTCGGTGACTCCATTTGGGCAATTGGGCACATGCTCGTGCAAACAATATGGAATTCCGAGAGATGTTTGTTCGGGTCCTCTCCTCTTAGCCCGTGGAAAGATGGAAGTAGATGAATGAGCCCCGATTTAAGCTCAAATGTAGCACCCGCATCAAGAGTTGGAAAGGTGATGCATAGCGGTTGTTGGTTGAGATTAGGAGCCGTGAGCTCCCTCAATGTTCTTGTTTCAAGAGCCATATGTATTGGCTCTTCGGGCTCGCTAGAATGAGAACTAGCACTTGATGATTCCTCCGAAGAAGTATTTGGAAATAAATTCCTCAACCACTCGAAGGCTTGTTCTATTTCGGGGTTTGTTTGATAGGTGAGTTGGTTTATAGATCGGGTTCTTACCATATACTCAAACAAAGCTCAGAGAAGAAATAGGAATCTTTATATAAATGTATATTTTTTTTTTAAATAAAATAAAAAGAAAAATTAATTGCCTCTCCCCGGCAACGGCGCCAAATTTGACGAGCACTTTGTCAAGGTGCGTCAAAATAAATTCAGTACTAGCACTTATACGTAGTATAGTGAAGTAGAGTTCGTATCCACAGGGAAAGGAATAATTATCTTTTTATGTAACTAGTAAGTAAAGGGGGGTTTTGATTGAGTGATTTAATTAAATTAAACACGAATATGAACGACTTATATGGGATTAAATTCAAGAATAAAAGGACTTGGCATTGCTACTTTCCACTTGTTGATATATTTTAGTCGATCATTGTTATATCTATAACTTATCTCCTCTCGAATACTCAATCGAGGAGTATATCCAATTCATCGAGGGTAGTTATTAACGACCGTTCATTAATAACCCTTACTATTAGTCCGGTATAGAACACCGCCATATACCGACTTGATAGTAGCATTTAATCTCTTAACTCCTTGATGAAATCAATTGAGATTGATAACCTCAACACAACGGTTTCGGTTTAACCAACAAAATTAACTCCTCTCAAGTTTATTAACCATGACCGTGCATTAATAAACCGAAGTTACTTACTTGTGAAACCATCAACGATTAACCATCGGTTCAATGACCGTTTCTAGTAATAATTAATATATGAAACAAAACTAGTTGATCCTTTAAGTAATGTTCAAAATATTAATATGAAATATGAATAGGATTTAATTAATACTCAAGGAAGAATATTAAAGAAGATGAATCCTACTATAGTTAATATCAAGATGTTAACTAATTGTCATCTTAGTAACACTCCCCAATATTAACATAGAGGAAGAAATAACTATTACTATAACTAATGTCAAGATGTTAACAAATTTTCATCTTAGTAACACTCCCCAACATTGATATAGAAATAGTATTTAAAAGGAGAATTAATATTCAAGGAAAGAAGTTAAGAAAATAACTCACAACTTTAATAATCAACAAGCTTCAAGAGCAACACCAAGAATGGAAGTTTAGCCCCTCATTTGGAGACTAAACATGCTAGAAAAATATAAAGAAATTCTATTCTAAACTGAGCTTAGAAGTGTAAAGGAATTGGTATCTAATTGTGAAGGTAAGGAGGTGTATTTATAGGCTTTTGGGGAGTGCAGTTCGGGTACCTGATCAAGTACACATAGGGTACCTAATCGGGTATTTGCAGAATGTTGAATTCGAGCTTTACTCGATCGATTCCAGGGTAGAAATAAAAGGCATACCCGATCGGGTGTGTCGGTGTACCCGATCGGGTATGACAACTAATCGTGGCCAAATCTTCCCCTGCACGTCCCTTTGTTTCCTGATTGATCTGATTGAAAATCAAATTGGTACCCGATCGAGTACATGGTATACTCGACCGGGTACAGGTCAAAAATCAGGATTTTGCCTTCTTTTTGTCTTGTACTCTTGCACCTTCCTTCACCAATGATCATTTGATTGATCTTAGACCTGTTTAAGCTTAGAATAGACCTAATCTAAATGAATTACAACTAAATTACAAACATAACTATTACACCAAAAGTGTGCAATTTCCAAAATATTAAACAACTAAAACTAACTAAAAACGTAAACATACACACGGAAATTACAAGCGTATCAGAGAGTGGGGCTCCGTTCCCGGTACTTGCAGAGACCCTATGCATTTTTAGCATAGTAACCTCTCATCGCAGTTGACGGGATTCGAATCCGGAACCTAACCCTTGTGGCACTCCCTCACTACCACTTGAGTTACGCCCACCGGTACGTCATCTAAAAGATCATGACATCATATGTGACTGATTAAAAAGAAGTGGATCATGACATTAGATAGTTACATCTGCCCATTTTTTGTCTTGTCTACCACCATTTCTCTAAAAGATACTGTATATCTCAATTTTTCTCAATTATTTACGTCGAATTTAACTTTTCATGACATCATATGTGACGTCATCCCTAAGCGGGAACAGGTTTGGACAGACGGTCCAGTTTTTACATACGGAGTACATAAAGATAGTTTAAATTAATAAATACAAATCTTTTAAACTTTTATTTTCACATGCTTTTGCATTTAACTTTTCTTAATAAAAGTTAAATATATTTCCTCGTAACTCAAAAGTTTCCCCTAATTCTGCAGTGTAGAACAACTAATTAGAGAATTTCAACATACTAAAGAGAGTCAATCATCCTTGTAACTTTTTTGTTTCTTCGTCAAAAACCTACGAGAAATATATGGGTCCATGTCTCCCGGCGACTGAGAAAATAACAAAAAGCATCTCCTCAACGCGTTTTCTTTGTCCAAAAGGTTGAATCGCCAACCCCAAGCGCCCCCACGCCCTGACCTGACAAAGCACATGGGAGGATGTAAGTCACGGTGACTCAGTCAGCAGAGTGGCAGTAGGCCATACACCCGTGCGCACCAGAGCTCCAGCTTTATTTCAGGTTCTGTGACCTCCACCCGGTCGCTGTGGGGATTCGAACTAACCTTAGTCATTGTCCAAATTTCCCAGCACTTTGCCAACTGAGCTACCCGTGCGGGTCTGAACGCGTTTTCTAACTATAAATATCCCTGTTCGCAAACACAATACGGAGTATATGATATGTAACGTTATCTATCATAGTCTCACACACAATATTATGTGTAATATATATTAATATTAATATATATAGTCCAAGTAGTTAATTAATTAGTCGAAGATGGAGGCTGCTCTCAGCTGCTTATTACTTGCAGTGGGTTTCTGGGCATTAGTATTGACACGGGGAGTGTTGGATTGGGTGTGGTTGAAGCCGAAACGGTGGGAAAGGTGCCTTAAAGAGCAAGGCTTAAAGGGTAACCCTTACAGGCTCCTCTTTGGAGACATGAAAGATATGGCAAACATGATAAGTGAAGCCAATTCTAAACCCATGAATCTCTTTGATGATTATACAGCCCCTAGGCTCCTCCCCTACTTTCTTCATCTCATCAACAAATATGGTAGTCTCTACGTCCCATAAAATTTTGTCAAATTTACTTATTTACTTGTTAATTTTAAAATGCCTTGTCATTTCCATTGTAATAAATACCCTAGTTAAAATTATTTTCTACCTCCTCTTCAAAAATATGAATCATGCAAGTTTTACGGGCGGGCAGGCGGGCAGCTACCCCAATAAAGGGCCTAGGTCATATCCATCAGAAAAACCACACTCTGACACTCACAGGTTCGCCCCCTAGGTCATATAAAAAAAATGACCCCGAAATATATAATTACATATATATGACTAAAATGAAAGTTGTTTACAAAAATGTGACTAGTCACTAGAATACTATTGAGTCATAATAACTTATGTTCAATATTTAGACTTAAGTTGCCATGACACTACGTTGTAGTAACTATTAGTCATATTTGTGTAAATAAGTTTTTTATAGTAATATTTTTGAAAAAAACCGTAAGTATATAAACAGTATATTAGTTAAAATATTACTCCATTTAGATATATAGTTTGCAAAGTCACAAAAAAAAAACAGAAACTATTAGTTGTTTTAGATTGCTAAATTAAGATTTAAGTATATGTATTAGTACAGTTAACAAAAAATATAGTTAGTTTTACATTTTTATCAAATTTAATGGATAACTTTTTGAATAAGAAACGCTCTCATCAACACCATGAGGTTCAAGTACAATTGTGTCCAATAAGTAATAATACCTCTAAATGTTCTCCTTAAATGACCAAAAAAGTTACTCCGTAATTTGAATGAGCTTCCTTAATTCGAATCCACTAAAAAGAAAACTTTTGAATATCATACGGAGTAACAATCGAAGAGAAGAAATTAGCATAAAATATCTTCTTATAATAGTGGGTTGGCAAAAGAATAAATGGCAAAAGTAAGACCCGAGAGTTTTGAGTGGACAAAAAAGGGAACATTTTTGTGAAAGGCAAAAAAGGGACCACCAACGTACACCTGCGGACCAAATTAAATCAACAAAAAAGAGACCAACCACCTCCCGATCTGATTCTGCGAGCATGAGCCACGAAGGAATTTCTCCTTAGCTTGTGTGACAGACGAAGGCGACAATGGAGGCAGGGATACTGCAGATGGAGAACACCAGCGATGTTGAAGGCCAGAGACGCAGGATACGGTGACCACGAGTGACGTCGACGACCATCAACGCCGATTATTACAGCCCGGAAGATTTCGACGGACCTTCGTCTTCCACATCCGAGCTTTGTCCTCCACCTGCAAACTATGTCTTACACCTGCACGCTTCGTCCTCCCCAGACGCGATTCGTCTTCCACCCGCGCGCTTCATCCATCCGGCAACAAGATGGGCCAGATCTCAGTATCAATGACGAATTTGGTGGCTGGGGACAAACCTATTGTCCACGATCTGAGGTGAAATTGGGGAGGAGGCTAAGAAATTGGTACAGGGGATCGAGAATTTGGGGGGAGGCTGAGTAGCGGGCTGGTCGGGAAGGGGAAGGGGGCTGTTGAGGGATGGGGGAGAGTGCTGGAGGGGGTTGGGGGCTATTGGTGGCTGGGGGAGGGTACTGAAGGGCGGGCAGGGCTGTTGGTGGGTGGGGAGAGATGGGGGAAGATGCTGGGGATGGTGGTGGACACCTTCGGCGGTGGCGGCAATCCCCGTCGAACAACGACAACGTTCAATGAGTATTTCATTGGTCTAGGTCATTAATCGGGTAATTGGTCACTGGTCGAACTAGTGACAGTTGTTTGTCGGGTTGGTCACTGGTCATGGTCACTTGGTGTATTGGTCATGGTCACTGGGTGGATTGGTCATGGTCACTGGTTAGATTGGTCATTAGTCGGGTTGGTCATGGTCACTGGTTACATTGGTCACAGGTCGGGTTGGTCATGGTCACTGATTGGATTGGTCATGATCATTGGTCGGGTTAATCACTGTTGGGATTGGTCATTGATAACTATAACTAGTCGGACTAGGTAACTGTAACTAGTCGGATCAGGTAACTGTAACTGGTCGAACCAGGTAACTGTAACTAATCGAATCGGGTAACTGTAACTGGTTGGACTAGGTAACTGTAACTAATTGAATCGGGTAACTGTAACTGGTCGGATCAGATAAGTGTAGCTGATTAGATCAGATAAGTGTAATTGGTCAGATCAAGTAACTGTAACTGGATTGAGTTTAATAACTGTAACTAGTCAAATCAGATAACTGGTCAGATCGGGTAACTGTAAATGGTCAAGTCATTGGCAGTTAGGTCACTGGGTTGTAGTAACTAAGATCGTTTTCACACAAATTATAGTGTCAAAAATTAAATATTTAATACACATATAATTCCATATCCAATTACATAATGTCTCTTGAGAAATGAGAAATAATTTTAAAATAAAAAAAAAAAGCATTAATGATTAGTTGATTACATAATGCATTCTTACGGAATACAACAACATTAAGGCAACAACATTACGGAGTGTCTAAAGCTAAGCCGATGCATGGTTGAATACTTACGGAGGGTAATTAAGGCTTAATCCCCTTTTTAGTCCCATTTTTGAAAAGTGAAAAAAATATCTCTTTTTAGTCCATAGCTCTTTTTTTTAGTATTATTCTAGACATAACCCTTGACAAAACAAAGTTGGGAAGACTTTGAGATGATTTAATTGTAAATGGTTTGGCCCGTACGTACACTTTTTTCCTTGTTTGAGAGATACGTAGTACAACACTAGTGCCGTCCAAAACTTTAAATTGAAAAATTAAGACAACAAACTCATCGGTGCCAAAGTTACGTCTAGCAAAATCTACTCCGAGATTCGGAGTGTTTTGTTCGCGGTTCTGCAGCCGCCACGCCTCGTGGCAGGAGAAGACCACCGTTCTATGTCGCTCCCCTGATTGGTTCCAGATGGCTGAAGGCCAGACAAACGCCGGCCGCTGCTTGCGTTGCTTAAATCCCCTTCGCGAGCATCTGAAGCATCTCCTATGGCTGGTCCCGGGTTGACTTTCACACATATTTAGGAAATAAAGTTACTGAGGGGTAAATTTTACCGTTTGGCACTGTTTCGACACTGTTTGGCACTGTTTCGACACTGTTTGACACTGTTTTGCATTGTTTGACACTGTTTTGATGTAGGATAACTTTCCATTTAGAGAAATGGGAACTTTTTGTTGGGACTACCAAAAAAGGAAAGTGGGAACTTCTCCCTGGGACGGAGGGAGTACTTGTATATAGTATTTAATAAGTATATGGACTATTTCTATGGTCAAGATACAAATTAAATAAAATTATAATAAAAATAAAAATATAATAAAAGAATAAAAGAAAATCTATGTGATGAAGTATATGGCCCAGGGACCCCCAACCCATAGACTCCTACTTCTCCCACTCAGACCCATCAATCCCAATGCACACACAAAGCCTAGACACAGCGGCCCAAGTGTTAAGAAGCCCACGGTGCACGTATGGGTGCCTTCGGCCCTACAGCCGAGGGCTCCAAAATCCACAGGACAGCCAGATTCAAGCATATGACGCTACTGGGAGAAAAAGGCAGAAAATGGGAGCCTTCGGCTCCTAGACACCTTCGGCATATGTGTAGCCTTCGGCTACACAGAGCCTTCGGCCACACCTAGCCTTCGGCCACAGGATGGGCATTCGACAACATCACGCTCGGCGAAGATTCCTTTTACAGACAGGCGCCCACCGCATTCAATGCGGCGTCACGTTCAACCACTGCATTTAATGCAGTGCACATGCAAATGTTGGTGCCACCCTGATTGAGGTGACCCTCGGCCGTCAGATGTTTGACATGTGTACTCCCCTAGCATTTATGGCTGCTATAAATAGCAGCCCTTATTTTCCTTGTAAAGCACCCTGAGTTCATTTAATATATTTGACTCTCTCTCCTACTTACTTGCTCTGACATCTCTCTAGGTTATTCCCCGCAATAACCATTCGGATAAGCTATCCCCTAGATACCGCTTCCCATCACTATGCTCCATAGGCGGAGCCCTAGGGGCCTACCTTAGGCGGCCATTCACCGCTCACTAGCGCCTTTTAGTCTTTTAGATCATTCACACAGAATATGGTATACAAGATGATAAAGCCTAGGGGTGAGCGCGATCCGGGACAGTACGGTTAATTAGCAAAACCTGTAATGTACCCGTGAAATTTCTAATGGTTCGGTGTTGTTCGGTTCTAAGGTTGGAACCATTCGACTCCGTGCCGTTTCGAAACAGTACGGTACAATAAAATAGAGAGCATAGTATATGTCAGGAAAAATTCAAGAAGCTTACATTTTTTTTCAAGTTTGCAAATACTAAACTAGTGCAACACGCTTAATAAAAATTATAGCAAAATGATGATACACCGGATATACATCGTCTTCATTAAATTCACGTGTGAACATAAAAATAAAATCATCAAATTATTGAATATTATAAAAAATCCCATCATCATTCTTATTTGTTCTGGGTTGAAAATAAGGTTTAAATGCATATTAATTTAGTTGCAAAACTACACAAATATGATACAAAAAATAGCCATATACAATACATTACTGAAAGTTGGTAATCATTAATTATTTTCAAAACTTCGGCGTTCTATAAATTTATACTAAAATGTAACATAAATTATTTAAAACTAGTATAATACCCGTGCATACGCACGGGAAAGAGCGGTGGGTACATATATATATTTACTATCTATTCTAGTAATAAAGTAAAATATTCTTTTGGAATAGTACCTAAAAGAACTACTTATGAGATGGATAATTGTCCTGTTAACTTATTAGTCCGCTTATCGTATTGTATACCTAAAAGCAATACATGCGAGAGAAAATTCTCCCGCTCAATTATTAGTCCATTTATCTACTTATATCTAAAAGTATTACGTATGAGAGAGAGAAATCTTCCTCTTGATGATTAGTCCGAACATCTTCTTATACCTAAAAGTACAACATATGAGAGAGCGAGAGAGAGAACTTTATCGCTCAATTATTAGTCCACTTAACTTATACCTAAATATACTACATATGGGGGGATTCTCCCGCTCATTTATTAGCCCATTTATTAGCTCATTTATTAGCCCATTTAGTACGCTTATCTTATACCTCAACATACTACATATGAGAGAGAAAATCATTTTGCTCAATTATTATTTCATTTATCTTATCGTATACGTAAAAGCACTACATGTGAGAGAGAAAATTCTCCCGGTCAATTATTAGTTCGCTTATCTTATATCTAAAAGACTACATATGAGAGAGGAAATTCTTCCGCTCAGTTATTAATCCGCTTATATTATACCTAAAAGCACTATGTATGAGAAACAAAATTCACCCACTCAATTGTTAGTTCGCTTATCTTATCGTATCTTATACGAAGTTACTAAAAGCATTAAATATGAGAAAGAAAATTATTACACTCAATTATTAGTCTGCTTATCTTATGGGAACATACACTGCACGCTCGGTTGTACAGTGCTCATTGTTCAACATAAGTACGTAACCAAATATTTTATGTTATGCTTAATGAGTATAAAGTTGAAATGAAATGAGTATTGGTATTAAATCGTTGTATTGGTAGCACAATTGAGTATTAGAAGCATGCAATTGAGTAACATGATGTAAACGTAATATATATGCTACAAATCAACTTATTTATTTAACTATATTATCATTGTATTTATTGTGCTAATTTTATAATTTAATTCAATACGAATACTCATTTCGTTTAAACTCTATACTCATTTATTTTAACATACAATACTTCATACTTGGTTGTATCATGTTTAGGGTACAACAGATTGTACGACATAGTTTACGCTTATCTTATACCTTAAAGCACTACACGTGACTTATATGATAGATTATGTTGGTCATATATTAGGAGCTATTAATTATATACTTCGTAATAAAGAATGATAGTATAAAGGTTGTTTAATAAACTTTCAGAGTATTTTTTTGAAAAAAAATTATATATGCTATATTGATGTCATATGAAAGGTCGTAAAAAATTATGAGTTTTGATAGTATTTTTATAAAAAAAAAATAGATAAACGGTTAAAAAGTTATAGCACTTTGAAGAAAAATGGTGTTTTTATACATTGGGGTCCACAACATTAATGGCACGTTTTTGACCTCCTTTGGTTTTGATAAATTGCTGTATTTATCCTCCGAATTGCCACATGGCATTTTTATGATAGAGGAGTAAAATGTGGGAAGAAGGACATGTGTATTATTTTGAGGTTAGAATTGTCTTTTAATGAGTTATTTGCTTTTCTTATATATAAATAGATAGATAGATAGAATAGAATAGACAGATAAATAGAATAGAAAACAGAATAACAATACAACCGTTCTAAAATTCTATAACATTTAACCATACGGGGCCTGTTCTGACATATATTTCTAAATTATGGTTACAAACGGGTACGGTTTTGATACGGGATAAAATTTTATGGAACCGTTAAGTTTAAATACCCGATATTTGGTTCAGTATCACTACGGGTCGGGTTGGTATGGTTTTTATTCCACCCCTAATATTAAAGGTGTGAGAACGCCGGTACCCATTTAAAAAGTGGGGTATCGTACCTACCACTCACTTGATTGGTCCAAATAGGTATATCATTTTTAATTTAGACTTAAACAATTCAACTGAAACATTCTGATTGGTTAATATGGACAAAAATATGATACCTTATGAGTACCAATATACAAGCTCTTAGCTATTTAGTTTATGCGGTCAAGTTTTACGGGAGAGTGTAGAATCTGCCCATGACTTTCACATCACTAAGTACACTTTTTGTGAAAATCATACATGAAAAGATGTCACCAATGTTATAATTTTCATCATAAATTGTACTTTCGTGTTAGAAATTCCTTAATATGGACAAATTTATTAGCTTCAAGACCAAATGTGCGCTGGAGAATATTGGCTTGAAAACACTTTTTTCCATTATTTGCAATGGAGCTAAAGATTCATTATTTTTTTGCTTGAGAATATGATGGAATAAAGCAAAATGGATCACTAAACTGTTTGCGTTTCTTTGTTATGAAGCAGCAGTCAATCCATGCAATTTGGGACGCGATTTTCACTATTGGTCATCCGGAAACAGTCTCTCTGTACTTTAGTAAAAGTACAGGGGTAAGGCTGCGTACATCCGACCCCCCTTACCCAACCGTAGGTGGGAACTTTTGCGAGACTAGGGTAAATGAAAATGAAATAAATGAAAATGAAGACTAAATAAATCTGCAAGCGACTAACAGTCGAACAAAAACTCTTTGTTCTTTTAATACCATTTCCAAATGGTTCTACTGTGCGACGTGACTATTAATTATCTTAATACAATTATAGTTAGGAAGAAAATATACTTGGTCTTATTTTAAAGCTTGATACATCTTTCATTTCTATATGTACTACGTGCATGTAGGTAAAAATTGTTATGTGTGGATGGGTCCAACTCCTACGGTTGTTATCATGGATACTGATTTAATAAAGGAGGTTTTCAATAAACATCATCTCTATCAGAAGTCTCGGAGCAACCCGCTAACTAAGAAGTTGATGCAAGGGCTGATCAACGCTGAGAAAGATGTATGGGCAAAACACAGAAAAATAATCAATCCTGCCTTCTACACTGAGAAGCTTAAGGTAGGTAGCTCCGTTAAAAAAAACACTTTTATATGCACCTTCGAGGCCAACCTAACAAGCATCATTCAGATTTTATATATGAGTCAATTCTCATAATAAAAGATACTCCCTCCGTCTCTATTTAAAAATGTGTCTTGCAATTACACACCATTAAAGAAAATGACACTCTAGCTTTGACGCTGTTTGAGCACTCTTTGCCACTATTTTGCACTATTTTGTTTACCAAATAATTAAGGAAAAAGGACATTTTTAGGGACGGGCGGAAAAGGAAAGTGGAGGAGCTAGGGGGCATGGGGACAAACGCCCTCGCTCCCCCCGCTTCGGGCCAAAACAAATACTGATATTGTACTACTACATACGATAGTATAATATAACTATGCACCTCCTTTAAAACAATAGTGCGTAGTTCTCCAAATGTTCAAAATTAGTACTATTACTTTGTAATTTTGAGTGAGAGGTCTTTGATTCGAGGAGATAGTTCTCCAAGCCTTCATAATCAATCTATTTCTAGTGTTTCAAATGATAATACATCCAGCCCAGCTGGTTGTGAAGTTACCGTGCCTAGCGAGAGCTCTCGAGTTCGAAACCCACTAGGCACATAAGGGTTTGAAACTCAATGGAGTGAGTTTCAGCCCTGATTACTTCAGGCTTCCCCCAGCCCCCCTTCCCCAAACCCCCCGGAGTAAAAAAAAAATGATAGTGCATCTAATAAAAAAGTTAGCAATTAAAGTAATTAGGTTGATAGAGACAAAAGAGCTTAAATAGAAATTAAAGTACACCTGATTGGGATATTATTGGTGATCCAGCATTACTAATACCAATCAATGAATATGCGTCTGGATTAGGGATAATGTGAGGAGAGAATATTAATACCAATATTAAATTGATAACATGCAAATAAAGTAAAAATAAATTGTACGTAACCACTCGAAAATTACCAAATTTCACAAACTTAGTGGGACAGAAAAAAAGAAAATGAGTCAAAGATAGGAGGATGAGGGGTACTTAAAGTTAAACAAAAAGTCAATATTTCAAATTTCCTAAATATGAGTCATAACTTGCTATTGGACAAAAAAACACTATTGTAAGGGTTAAGATTGGCCACCGAACTACCACTTGATTCCTTTACTAATTAAGTAGGGTGGGGGATTAGGTAAATTCTATGGTACCCATAAGGTACCATACCTTTGTCCACATGGACCAATGAGAATGTAGCAGTTGAATTATTTAAATCTAAATTAAAAATGATAAAGTGATGTGGTCTAATCAAATAAATGATAGGTACGGTACCTCATATTTTAGAAAGGTACCGGAGTTGTCACCTTAATTATATTAAAGATATGAAATATGCACTTCTATAAGTTCTATTGAGGAACTTTTAAATTACCATGTTTTGATAATCGGTATATATTATGCTTGGCCAAAGAATTACTTTTTACTACTTACTCCATATGTAATATTGTAATAATACGAGTATATATTATGCTGCCTTAGCTTGCCACCTAGTAAAGAATGAAGCTCCTTTGTTTCCTCATGATTAACAGCTTATGCAACCAGCTTTCTTGGTATGCTCCATTGATATGGTAAGAAAATGGGAGGGTATTGTCTCGGTAGAAGGATCGTGCGAGTTGGATGTGTGGCCTCAGCTTCAAGACCTGGCTTCCGATGCGATCTCTCGAACAGCGTTTGGGAGCAACTACGAAGAAGGAAAGATTATCTTTGAGCTTCAGAGAGAACAAAATATGCACTTGACTGAAGCTAAACGCCAAGCTTATATACCTGGGTGGAGGTAATTCCATAGGTTTTTTTCTCTATAATTAACCCTACACCTGGTTCTCAAATTTTTGTTAAAAATTTGGCATAAATAGGGGTAAAAATGTTTTAGAACGCTAAAATTAAGCATTATATTTAATTTTCATACTCTACATAGGAGTAATTATTTTCATATATGCTCAGAAAATACTTCCGATTATGGCACTACACTGCCACATTTAAAGTCGAGTAATATCATCATATGGTAGTATAGTATACTTTCAAGATGACACTAAGTTATTCCATTTTCAAAAGAAAACATGTGTAGTATATAGTACTCTTGTTTGGGAAATTTACTTTGTTTTTACTCTTAAAAGATGTTTTTACTTGGACTGTTTTCATTCTTAGACTAGTCTTAAATAGTTATAAAATATACAGAGTCTAGACATCTATCAGACAAGTTCAGACCAGACCAGAAAATTTCCATTGATTAAATATAGATGTTTTGTTTTCATTAATTAAACTTTATATTAGATGTACGTACATATATAGTTAATTAGTTTTTATTGAAATCGTACATGATAATGCAGATTTCTACCAACTAAGAGGAATAGGAGAATGAATGCCATCGAGATGAAAGTGAAATCATCCATCCGGGATATAATAGACAAGAGATTGAAGAAGATGAGGGAAGGAGAGGCTAAAAGCGAAGATTTATTAGGCATATTGTTGGAATCCAACATGGAAGAAATGAAAAGGAAAGGTAAACAAGAATATGGAATGAGCATTGATGATGTCATCGAGGAGTGCAAGTTGTTCTATGTTGTAGGACAAGAGACTAGTTCTGTGTTGCTAGTTTGGACTATGATTCTTCTCGGTAGATATCAAGATTGGCAAACTAGAGCTAGAGAAGAGGTGTTACATGCCTTTGGCCAGGATGAGAGCCTTGATCTAAAAAAATTAAACAGCCTTAAACTTGTGAGTATGATCAGTTTTATGGTTAAAATATGATATTTGTGGTAAATAAACTCTTAATTGCAATGCCCTCACATCATTTCAGGTGAAAATGATTTTGTATGAGTCCTTAAGGTTATATCCTCCAGTAAACAGTCTGAAGAGGAGGGTTGTGGAGGAGACAACATTAGGAGATATAATATTGCCTCGTGGGACTATGGTGTCATTACCAATACTTTTGCTACATCTTGATCATGATATATGGGGTGAAGACGTTAAAGAATTCAAACCAGAGAGGTTCAATGATGGGATAATGGGGGCAACAAAGGGTAAAAATGCCTTCTTTCCATTTGGTGGGGGGCCTAGGGTATGCATTGGCCAAAGCTTTTCTATGGAGCAAGCTAAAATTGTTATGGCAACCATTTTACAGCGCTTCTCGTTTGAGCTCTCTCCTTCTTATGCTCATGTTCCAATTTCAATCGGAACTACTCGTCCTAGACATGGTTCTCCCCTCATTATAAAAAAGCTATAATTAATAATGTGTCACCTAGTGTGATTTTTTTGGATAAATTGCATGTAATTCTCTACATTATTAAATACCTATATACAAAGTCAAATTTCCTATAGAAATTTGCCTTGCCTTGAAGAATAGTAGTTCTCTCTACGATTTTATTCTATCCTTACAAGTTGTTTACACAAATTAAGAAAAATAGTATGAAATAATGGGTAGTTTATTAAAACTCGGATGTGTAGCCTAAGAAAGGGAGAAGTGAGTTAGGTGCACTCAGTAAAAGTTTGAATCTTTAAACTTTTCTAGCGCGTCGGAAAAAATTAAACCTAAATATCGACAAGTTGATAGAGAAAAGTCTAAAATTTCAGTTTTAACATTTGAAGATGGACATTTCAATGAGTGTGTGCATCAGTTCATGCACTTTTCTAATTGCGGATTACTAAAACTAATTAATGCCCCATAGTTAAAACATAGATAAATAATTATTCAAGTAAATAAAATTAAGGATGAGATGGTACCATCAATTATACTTGTTCAGGAACTTCTTACTCTAATATTTGAAGGCACCTTCATCAGTACGTATTTTAGAAAGACTGCTCCCTCGGTCTCCTTGGACTCGAGCAAAAACACCGCAAGGAACGCCTTAGCAAACACACTCTTGTAAGTGGATATATAAGAATCTAGTGGATCTACTTAACCATATAAGCCATACAAGGATTTAATTACGACTCTCTCCTCGACCTTAAGGATTTCACAATGGGCAGGTCTCCCATTGTATAAACCTTAACGAAAACGTTGACCGGTTTATATATATATAGTCCTTTTCCCCCCAAGTTGTGAAATACTAATTAGTACTCCGTGTATATATATATATATATATATATATATATATATATATATATATAGAGAGAGAGAGAGAGAGAGAGAGAGTAATCTTCCGGTCAGGTATACCTGACCGGAGCCGCCGTCCGGCCTCCTCCTTTTGGGGGCCTTCCCGGTGGTATTTTTTGCTCAAATTTTTTGTGTATGTTCCTCATCAAGTCTAGTTTATCCATACCAAATTTCATCAAAAAATATCAATCGGGAAGGTCGTCAAATGATTTTTGCAAGTTAACTGGTCCGGAATATGTATTTTCCGGACCAGTTAACTTGCAAAAATCCTTTGACGACCTTCCCGATTGAAATTTTTGCTGAAATTTGGTATGGATGAACTAGACTTGATGAGGAACATACAAAAAAAATTTGAGCAAAAAATACCACCGGGAAGGCCCCCAAAAGGAGGAGGCCGGACGGCGGTTCCTGTCAGGTATACCTGACAGGAACATTTGTGTGTGTGTGTATATATATATATAGAGTAGGGATCATATGAGAATATCATCTTAGGAGAGAATTGAGAATGAATTGTAGCCATTAGATTTGGAGGTTTATAATAATTCGGTACTCTCTCGTTAAGGGCAAATTCGAAACTTCCGCATCATATATTAAATCTAACGGATTCGTTCCATAACCGTCATTAGATATTCGTATAAGTTATGCTTCATTTGTTCGACCAGTCAAAATGAACTCTTTTCTCTCCACTTTATTTTTTTTTTAAATAAGTGGATTATTATCTCCACTACTGTTCATTCGAGATTTTGTTTACTTTTTCATGATCATTCTATCTTATCTCCATTACGGTTCATAAGATATTTTGTTTACGGTTCATTTGTTTACTTTTCTTAATCATTCCATTTTTTTTTAAAATAAGTGAATTATTATCTCCAATAAGTGAATTCTTATATTTTACTCTTTCATGATATTTCGCTTTCGTCTCTTTCTTTAAATATATCTTCCATTTAGTTTTTCTATTTCTCATTCTATTTATTTTGATTTATCTAATTTGGGACTCCTTTATGTACAACAAAGATGTATGTCACCTTTATAAGAATTCATTTCATGTTTATTGAAAAGTGCACAAGAACTTATATGTAAGTGCAAAACATAATTCAGATTATTTTGATGCACTTATCACATTATATTCGTAGTTTCCATTATTTTTAGTTTTCTCTTTTACAAATTCAAGTGACACCAAAAGACAATGTCTTAATCAGATAATTGTAATGAAAAATTGCATTAGTTTGTGTGCTATAATATTGCACTTTTACATATATTTATAACATATACGATAAAAATGCATTTCATTTATAAGAAAGTGCCAATGTAGAATTTTACAAAGTAAAATATAATAGTACACTTTTATTTATATTAGAAATGCACATGATAGCTACTTATTTACACTCACATATGTTTATTTTCATTTTATTTTGAAATACATGGAAGTGCACAACTACAAAGACTAACGTGCAGATTAATGACTTAAGTGTAAAGGTTAATATAATAAAAATATCATTTATGTCCTTCGAAAAATCTCCATGGTTTCTTTAAATTAATGAATTGTGTTTACTATTTATAAATTTATAAAATGTATATAAAGTGCATAATTCTGTAATTAAATGTGCATACATTTTTTTCCTGCACATTTACGCCTATTCATAAAGTGCATAGTTGTTTAGCTAAATGTGCATACATTCACTACTACAAGAATGACTTACCACGTCACACATTTGACGTCGGTTTTTAAAGAACCGTCGTAATAGGAGAGGCAAGAACCTTGTAACGACGGTTTTGGCTAAAACTGACGTGGTACGTTTTGGAAAAAGGCGGAACAATGTTTTTTTGGCTTCTTATAACGTCAGTTTCTTTAGAACCGACTTGAAACGCATTTGATAATTTCTTAAAGGGGTTAGTTAAAAATCTTAAAATTATTAATTCGTACCCATCTGGCCGGCCTCTTAAAATTAAAATTACATACGAAGTGCTCCATACAAAGAATCGACAAACCCTAGACGCCTTGACCTCTTCTCTTCGCGTGCGACTTCTTCGTCTACCTCTGTCTTCTCTCATTAGACGAAACTCGATCGATGCTCTGCAAGAACTAGTAAGTCCTATTCTCAATTTATCCATCAGATTTCTTCCAGCTGACCTTCTCGATTACAGGACGGCGACGTATGAGACGCAAGTCTCCCGTAAAGTCCCGACGAGCGGTCCACAGAGCTGCATCCCTACTCACCGAATCGGTTTCCAGAAGGGGGGCTGCAGTTTAGGCGTCTTACAAGGCTGCATCTCTACTGGCTACTCACCTAGTCGGTCTACATCCGCCAAATGAGTTGTACGATCGATGTATAGGTTTCCAGAATCAAGACGATCTCTATACTTTTAGTCGCTCGACCTCTACAGTTTCTTCTATCTCCAGTATTTTTTCTATCCCTATTCTTATGTAATTGAATTTCAGGAATAATGCTTATGATGATGGGTTCTAACCTTTTCCCCCAGCTTTTGATTTACTAGTGTAATGATTCCATGACTTGTTTATAATTAATTAGCTTCTTAAACTCAGTGTGGGATGATTGAGGTTGTAGATTGTGATTTTCATGAGAATCCATGTACTTTTGCTGCATCAACTCAATGATTTCTTCATCTACAGTATGTTATCCATTCTTATTATTGTGTAATTAAAGTTCGTGAATATTGTTTCTTGTATATTAAGAATTAATTTTTCGAAATTTAGGGTTTTGCCTTAATTTAAGGACACATCAGAATATGTACCACCCAAATCTTAGGTTTTCGAAAAATATGGTTAGTTTAGTTCATGATATTTTGATTTGTAAAAGCAGGTGGTATATGTTCAGGGTCATTCCAGTTGATTATATTAGCACCCAACATGAATAATTGTGTAATAATATTATTTGCCCAAGTTTTCTTATATCAGTAATATCAAACAGGCGAGGGATGACCAAAAAAGAAATTTATTTGTTACTACTCTTACATAGGAAGAGGTAAAACTGTCATGACCAGTATTGCTATATATAGCAAAAGTGTGCAAGGATGAGTGAGAATAGCTGGATGACTCTGGGCAGCTGCAGGGAAGATCAAGTTTAAGGTTGCAGCTAAGGTTCACATTCAACAGCTAAGGTTTTTTTTATCTTATGCATTAGTATACAGAATCTGTAATGGTGCCTAATTACTGGCTCACGATTTTTCTTATAATAATGGTGGCACTACATCCTCGACTCATGTTTAAAGTTTTGCAGCAAACATTCTGGAACTTTGATATACAGATAGCTAGAGAAACAAATATATACTGGTTCATGGCGACTTTGTGTAGAGGCTAGATCAAGATACAAGCTGCTGCGGGCTGCTTTTAATTTAAGGAGACCATTCATATTTTAAACAGGCTGCATGTGTTTGCTGGTCTGTCGCTTTCTCCAGACATTTCATTGTATAGACTAACGGGTAACACACTGGAATCCTTCTTTTTATAAACTGACCCCCCAAATCTCACTTATCTTCTAAATTCTAATTAACCACACTCATTCTAGCACTAGTTCCCTTATCTTCTAAATTCTAATTAACCACACTCATTCTAGCACTAGTTCCCAATATGTTACTTTGCTATGTTGTATCTTTTGGTCTGGTTGAATCAAGAGTTATTTGTTTTACATAATCCTTTTAGTTAATGAACCCTTATTTGAGAACAAGGGAGTACTCCATCATATTCTGTTTTTTTCATACATATAGAGTGTCAAAGTCTTTCGTGGAGGGACCCAATTGGATTGATTGAACTGCAATAAATTTATCACTAACTTTCTTGGGTTCACTTGGTTTTCAATGTGTAGCTTGCTGGATTTCATGATAATGCATATAAACTAAATGCTTTAGTTTCTTAAGGTTCTGAATGGTGTTATTACTAACTGAAAAGTAATAAGATGACTATGCGTTCAGCTAAGTTCTGACTTCTGATTGTGTGCAGGGATAAAAGTGACATATTATACAGAGTTAAGTTCAAAGAAGTAAAAGAAAGTATTGACTGACTGCTGGTTTATGTTGTAAGAGTATCTACTTTGTCCATTTTCTAAACCATTGAAAAGAAAGTACCAAGAAAACAATACAAGTGTACATTAGGGCCTTGGTAGAAAAGCAGGCATTCAAGTGATCAAATAACACAATTTTCTCATCACCTCTACCTTGCTCATCAGACCTGTGCTCTTATTTTGTGGATTTGTTGGTTAAT